CAAAAAGAAATTTGATCAGTAACTGTCATTATAGCAAGGTAAGTTCCCAGAACAATTCCAGCAGAAAAAAATTTCCCTCAACTTCCACGAATCATGTACCGGTGACACCTTAACCTCGTCTTTTAAAATAGCCGTATGGGTTCCATCATTAAGAATGACAATGATGAACACCATGAATGGTGAGAAATCAAACTTCCGCAGCAGTGCAATGAGAATAAACTGAGCAAAATTCTGATTGCAATTGAAACAGCATTTATGGCATAGTTCTTCATCCCCTGGAATATAGCCCTGCTAGTCAGGTTAGCAATGATGTGTACACCCAGTCCTGTTTCTGTCAGATATCAGATGATCTCCGGGCAGCATCCGTGGCATTGGCCACAGCAATGCCGATGTCGAGTGTCGACCTTCGTCAATGCTGGTACATCATTCACATCATCATCTTCTGTCATCCTGCAAATTTGTTTCCTCTATTATAGCTTTGCCACAATTTCGTAATTATGTATGCATCCATTATCAGAGTAATTTTAGAATCGGCTTTTTTTTTGTAGTATTCTCCATAACCCTCTTTTAATTTTTGAGGATTCCAAATTATTCCGAAAAAGACGTCATGGCCTCCATGAATATCAACGGGAGAAATCTCTCTATCTACAAACACATACCATGATGGAACACTGGCATACACAACACGGGTATGGAAAAAGGCCGTATTAAAACCAAAAAAAAAAAGAACGATTATAATTGTGCTTGCAACAGGGCGCAAACCAAAAGAACGAACAAATCTGCGATTATAAACATGGCTTGTAAACAGAGAAATTTTCTTTCATAATTGTTATTACCTTGAAGGTGGTGACCGGAGATTGTACGATTGAATGATGCCGGAAGAGGATTTGATAAACATAATGAATCCCGTGATTCACCACTCGGACATTGTACGATTGACTGATGCCGGAAGAGGATTTGATAAACATAATGAATCCCATGATTCAAGCCTTGACAGAATATGAGAAATAATTCACATTTGCTGTAAATTATTCTCATTCCATTGTATTTAAATATAATAGCTAGAATCATGTAATTAGTCTTATCCTTTGTAAATCTTATCCCTCTTACCAAATGAATTGTATATATAGAGGTTTAGTAGACAATCAATGCAAACATCCCTACTTTCTCTGCTATTTTATCATTTTCTCATGGTATCAAAGAGCTAACTTTTTTTTTTCCCACAGATCCAATTTCTTTTTTTTTTCCCCTTACTGCCTTCTTTGCCTTCGAATCATGACAATCAACAACCCAGCCACAAATTTCCAAACACTCGTACCAATAAATAATATTACCTCATTCATCACAATCATGCTTGACTCCACAACCTATCTTACGTGGAGAAATCAAGTTGAGTCTATTATTCTCACATGTGATCTCATCCGTCATGTAGATGGGTCTCTTTTACCACCACAAATTCATCATCATACACTACCACCACATCACCTTCGCCAGACTTTTTGAATTGGCAAAAACGACTCCGTCTCGTTTACAGTTGCATTACTGCTACACTATCATAAACACTTTCTTCCTTGGCTTTAGGATTCTCTACTGCTCGGGCTCTTTGGACAAAATTGGAGCAACACTATCTTCAAACCAACACCCGCCCTACACCCCCTAATCATCTTTCTGACTATGTTACTTACCATACTTACCCGGTCTTAATCCTACTTCTTTCACTCAGGCCAACCGTTTTCCTCATTGGCGTTAAGCTATGCTTGATGAATACCAAGCTCTTCATCGTAATCACACATGGTCCCTTATGCCACCACTACCCAATGCTAACAACGTTGGGTGTAAATGGGTCTTTCGCACTAAATACAAAGTTGATGGCACCATTGACCGCTATAAGGCCCACCTAGTAGCTAAGGTTATCATCAATCTCCCAGTATTGACTATACGGATACTTTCAGTCCCGTTGTCAAACCCACTACCATTCGTATCATTCTTACCCTTTCCATTAGTCAGAATTGGCCCATTCGTCAACTTGATGTTAACAACGCCTTCCTTCACGGAACTCTCTCTGGACCTGCTTACATGACCCAACCTCCGGGTTTTGTTCACCCTCATAATCCCCACCTTTTCTGTCGCCTTCACAAGGCACTCTACGGCCTCAAACAAGCTCCACGTGCTTGGTTTCATGAGTTAAAACAAAAATTTCTTCACCTGAACTTTCGACAAACCAAATCTGACACCTCTCCTTTCATTCATAGCACCCCTACTAACATCACTTTTCTCTTAGTTTATGTGGATGATATCTTGGTTACTGGTTCTTCACAAACTTTCATCACTTCCCTTGTCCAAGACCTCAATGCTGCTTTTACCATTAAAGATCTTGGCCCTCTTCACTACTTTCTTGGCATCAAAGCCACTTCTCAACCTAATGTTCTTCTCCCCACTCAAGCGAAATACAGCAAAGATCTTCTTACTCGTACTCATCTTGATACCTCTAAACCTGTCCACACCCCTATAGCCCCAACTTTACCCTTATCTAAAAATCATGGCATACCTCTATCAGATCCCATTGAATACCGCAACACAGTTGGCACCCTTCAATACCTTTGCCTTACTCGACCTGATATTCAGTTTGCAGTCAATAAAGTTTCCCAGTTCCTTCATTGTCCCACTGATATACATTGGTCTACGGTTAAATGAATTCTTCGCTACTTACGTTCCACTCCAACTCATGGCATTCTTTTTACCAAAACCTCTCATTTGGCACTTACTGCCTACTCTGATGCTGACTGGGCTGGCTGTCCTGATGATCGACGTTCCACCTCTGGTTATTGTATTTATTTGGGATCTAATCTTATTTCTTGGAGTGCTAAGAAACAACCAACAGTTGCACGATCTAGTACAAAAGTTGAATATCGTAGTGTAGCTCTTGCTGCTGCTAAAATTTGTTGGATTCGCTCTCTACTTGGAGAAATTGGTTTGCCAAACCTCAAACCCACCCTTTGGTGTGATAATATTGGTGCAACCTACCTTGCTGCTAATCCAGTGTCTCATGCTCTGTCTAAACACATTGAAATTGATCTTCACTTTGTCCGAGATTTGGTTGCTCAGAAGACTCTATCTATCCGCCACATTCGCTCTGCTGATCAAATTGCCGATGTCATGACTAAAGCACTCTCCTCTGCTGCCTTTCACAAATTTCGTAACAAGCTCACTGTCCTTCCGACCTTGAGCTTGAGGGGGGATGATAAACATAATGAATCCCGTGATTCAATCCTTGACAGAATATGAGAGATAATTCTCATTTGCTGTAAATTATTTTCATTCATTGTATTTAAATGTAATAGCTAGAATCATTTAATTAGTCTTATCCTTTGTAAATATTATCCCTTTTACCAAATGAATTGTATATATAGAGGTGTAGTACTATGTACACAATCAATGAAAACATCACCACTTTCTCTACTATTTTATCATTTTCTCATGGTATCAAAGAGCTACTTTTTTTTCCCACCGATCCAATTTCTTTTTTTTTTTCCCTTACTGCCTTCTTTGCCTTCGAATCATGACAATCAATAACCCAGCCACAAATTTCCAAACACTCATACCAATAAATAATATTACCTCATTCATCACAATCATCCTTGACTCCACAAACTATCTTACGTGGAGAAATCAAGTTGAGTCTATTCTTCTCACATGTGATCTCATCGGTCATGTAGATGGGTCTCTTTTACCACCACAAATTCATCATCAAACACTACCGCAACATTACCTTCGCCGGACGTTTTGAATTGGCAAAAATGAGACTGTCTCGTTTACAGTTGCATCACTGCTACACTATCACAAACACTTTCTTCTGTGGCTTTAGGATGCTCTACTGCTCGGGCTCTTTGGAAAAAATTGGAGCAACACTATCTTCAGCAATCTAAAGCACGTCGTTCATTACTTCGTCGAAGCTCGGATTCCAGAAATCCGAGTTTAGCGTGATATAAATGAAAAACATTAAGACAGTTCTCGTTCGAGAACTGAATTGGATTTTCTATTTCTAGGACTCTTGGTTGGAGTTTTTGAAGCAACCTTACCGCTAGATACGTGGGGATCGTTATTTCAAAGAGGTCAGATTGCAAAACCATGTTAGTTAGTTTATTTTTGTGTTATTTTGATTGTTAGAATGATGTATGATAGATTAGAGTTTTTGTTTATTGATTTTTTGGATGTTTTAGATGTTGATTTTGAGGTTAGAGATGAGAAATCATAGTTGTTTATGAGGTATGAAAGTTGATTTATAAGTATTTTAAGATTTTATCGGTTTTTTGAATTATGAATGGAGTATGTATGGTGTATTTATTGATTTTGTTATTAAGAAATGATTAGATATTGATTTTTTTTAAACAGTTATCAGTGGCATGTAATGTATCATACATGCTTAATTTGTTTCATACAAGCATGTGATAGAGAATGGTAGCATCAATACTTTTTCGAATATGCTGGATCATGGCTTGTTTGTTGAGGAAAGGTTGTCATATGTGGAATTGATTAGTAAGATTTATATGACACTTGGTTGGGATTCAGCACACGTGAAACTCCACATTTCTGTGATTTTCGATAATCCCGGTGGTAGGCGTGTAGTGAAGATCAAGAATGATTCGCATGTAGAGTTCATGAGCCGTGTAGCTCCACTGTCATGTTTGGATTTATACATAAATTTGGAAGATATCACTCACGAAGAAAGAGAAACGAGTTTGGAAAACAACGTGTTATTTGGTGGTTTTCCAAGGGGGGAACATGCTAGTACTTCTTGAAACTGTGATGAAGAGAAGACACCTTTATTTGCACAAGATGAATACATGAAATATTCACATCCCGACTACATAGCTCCAAGCGAAAGCGAAAAAGACCGTGAGGTCTCTGCAGATAGTGATTTTGAGGAAAGTGATGATGAATTATTGGAAAATGAGAAAAGGGATCTTAATCTATTGCCCCGACGCCATGTATATAGTAAGATGGGGAAATGGGATACCTCATGTGTGGACAAGAATGAGTTTGCTCTTAAGATGTGGGATGAGACCCCTGAAGGAATGGACATTAGTGTTTGTTTCAAATCCCAATCAGAAGCAAAACATGCTGTGAAATTATGGAACATCCATCACAAAAGAGAATATACGATGGTCGCGAGTAGTCCAACAACGTGGGCTGTACGGTGCAGAACATTAAATGTACCAAGTGAGGATGGTGATCCACCATGTGTGTGGAAGATGCGTGTGTCTTTGAAAGATCACGGCCTTCATGAAATTGTGAGATGACATGATGCACATAATTGCATGACTTCCGTGAATGATAATGACAATCGGTGTGTGGACGCGTCTTTGATTGCTAGACTCATCAGGAGAAAGGTTGAGGACAACGTAGGTTATACGGTGGCCTCTGCACAGAAAGATATGAAGACCTTATTGAAAGTAGATTATACGGGGACTATAAAAGGCCGGTCAACTCTTCCCCAATTCAATTTATCCCGTCCCCAAATTGAAAAACCCTAATTAACTCTCATCCGGCGACCAACTTCACCCATCCAACGCTCCTCCCCGTCCGGCGACTCAATCCAGGACCCAAATCGACAAACCCTCCGTCCGGCGACTCAATTTCCTCAGTCCAGTGACCAAATTCCTCCGTCCGCTACTCCCCGTCGAACTTCACTCAAGTCCGGCGACCAAATTCCTCCGTCCTCTGCCGGCAACCGAATTGGGGGCGTCTTCCCTCCAAATTGAACTCCCCTCTATCGGCGACTCACACCCGTCCATTCTCCCTCAACGACTCCTTCACCCTGCGACAGAATTGGCGGTAAGTATTTTCCATCCTTTTTTTGCAATTTTTTTCATTCTTTAATCCAGTTTTCTCTTTCTTTTAGTATTTTTTTTTTTTGCGAATGTATTGGAATTAGCCTGTTTAGCCTGTTTTGGTTTGGTTTGTTAAGTGTGTTACTGGGATTTTTTTTGTTTTTTTCCAGAATGAGGATTTATGTGATCCGAATGTGTATATATAGTATGTGCACAGTATTGTACATTGTGGATGAATTAGAATGTGTGACTTTCTTTGGTTTGGAGAGGGGGACAGAATCACAGTCTGGACAGAATTGTAGTATTGTTTAGGTTTAGGGATAATAATTAGAATTGTGGATTGTGTATATATATGTGAATTTTGACTTATAGTATTTGTGTATATATATGTGCATAGTAGTGTGAATCCGAATATATAGTATTTGTGCATAATATTGAAGTGCTAATGTTTCTTTGGTTGCCGAATGTAGGATTGCAATGGCTAGCTCATCTAGCTCGCATATAATCCTAAACATTTTCAACTGGGGCAGATACAAGATAACGTGATATACCTTAAAAAAAAACATAGGTCCCAAGTTGTCTTTGAGAACAAGATCCACAATATTAAAACATTCTGCCTCAAGAACTGTAGATTCGATAGCTCATTTTGGGAGATATACAATGATCATACGGCACCAGAGGTTAAGGAAATCATTAAGAGAGCCGGTTTTGAGGATAATGAAAGTAGGCTACAAAAAAGTGAATTTCGGTCTCATTACCGCGTTAGTGGAACGGTGGAGGCTAGAAACCCACACTTTCCATTTCAATTTCAGAGAGGCGACTGTGACACTACAAGATGTCGAGGTCCTCTTTGGTATCCGGGTCGATGGTGAGCCGGTGTACGGAAAGACAGTTAGCCGGAGTGCAGAGGAATGGTAGGCGAGATGTGAGACTTATTTGAGATTCCGGCCAGCCGCAGTAAATGCCAATTTGTCAAGATTGGTGTTTTCGAGAAAGAGATGAAACGTGCACTCCCTGATAATTCCCCAATCGAGCGACTCGAGCAAAGGGCCCGAACAATAATCCTGCATTTTATGAACAATTTTATGTTTCCTACCAAGACTCAATACACTATCAATCTGCAGTTGTTGACCCAGGTTGAGGATTTGGAGCAGTGTAGTCGCTAGAGTTGGGGATCTGCCCTGCTGGCTTGTTTGTACTTTGGCCTGTGCGAGGCAACCTAGTACACCATGCACGACATCACTGGCTGTGTATATTTACTACAGGTACGTATTAGTTTTCATTAGGTGTTATAATTGTTTTTGTTTTCGACATTATAATTTGAAGTGTTAACATTATTATTGAAATTTACTAGGTATGGGCGTATGAGTGGATCGAGAGAATCGCGCCACAAAGAGTGCAACTAGATTATATACTGGATGAGACCGCTCCATTAGCTCAGTGGTATGTATTTTCATTTCAAAATAACTCAATGTTTCTTTCTATTTGTTTCTTATTCATTTTTTTTTTACTAATTAAAGTGTAACCCCTTCGTGTTTGTTCATTAAGGTGGGAATGTTCGTACACCTACGGAGACGTCCCAAGGAACAGCTTGGCACCTTTTAGAGATCAATTAACAAGCTTGCGTCTTGGAGATATAAGTACTTCATTTGGTATTTATATTTTTATTGAATTTTTTTCTTCCGGTTATATACCTTTTAAATAAATTCTTTTCATACAGTTTCTGTGGCAACCATATGCAAGCGTCCTTCCTAAACTCCCTGATTTTTGTAAACAAGGCCAAGCCATTTGGACGACCAGATGTTGGATGTTCTGTTGGACTGTTAGGGAACCCCACGAGTCGCTCAGAGCTGTGAGACAATTTGGATACATACAGGGTGTTTCCCGTGGCCCTATGATTAAAGATCGTGCAGCATTTCTTCTCGATCACGCCCACAGTATGTCTGGCCTACTGAGCAACAATTGTGTGGATCACCATTCCGCAGTACGTCCTCACTGGAGAAAGAGGGAAAAGTACGTTCTAAAAGATTTGGAGGTTGGATTCCCTGGCAAAAGATATGAGGGGTACTATGAATGGTTCATGATGAATACTGTCAAGCTTATATCCAATCCCAAAAATTATGAAGCTAAAGGATACGAGACTTCTTCGAGTCGAGTGAAATTATATGTGAGTTCATTCTATAATTTGGGTTTTCAATTTCTTATATTTTTCTTTTATTTTTTTTAATCTTTTTATGATTTTTGTATTTTACTCTTTTAATTAACGTTCCAATTTCTTTTCAGGGCGAAGTATTGAATAACATTCGCGTGAGTTCCAAGCAGTTTAGAGATGATAGAGATGAGAAGAATCTCCTAAACAATGAACTCGAGGAGTATTTGAACAAAATCATCAATCAAACACATGCTGCTTTAACCCTAGGTCCAAATGATGAGATTGACATGGACGATACCCAAATCCTAGTTGATGAAGAATCATCTCTGCCCTCACAACCTGCGCCGCGTAAGAAAGCGAAACCGTGGCCGAGAGATAAGATTGGAGGAGGAAGAAAGCGAAAGATAGAGATTCCCCCTCGGTCATTGCGAGAACAAAATGACAGTGACGGTTCACGTAATCAACAACGAGAGGCGAGGCGGCTTCTTCTAGAGGCTCGCACATCCAGCTCTAGACTCAATTTGAAGACAATGGTGGACCTGAGACTCAATTTGGTGGAGAGTCGCAACCACAGTCGGGAGTCCTATTTCTCACTGTGGCAGAGTCCCAATCCCTACCCCAACCCCAACTTCATCAACAACATGGTTCAATACTCATGTATCTTTGGAGGGAAGATAGGATTCACCACGAGCCAAATAAATACACTCCGGATGCGCCTAAGAAAGGAAAAGGGAAAAAATGAGCCGTTGATGTATTTTTACATTGAAAGTAGATTTTGGATTGAAACTTGTTATGTTTCGTTGTTAATCGAATGAAGTTTATTATTTTGTTGCCATTAGATTTCTGTTTTTCTATGTTTCATTGTTGTTGGTGCTGTAAACAGGTTTTGGACTAGTTAAAACCAGTCCAATTTTTTTTTCAGTTCTGACAAAGATCCGGATTTCAAAAATCCGAAGTTCTACAATTTGTAAAGGACTCGGATTTTGCAAATTCGAGGCAATGCCTATCTAGGAGTTCCAATTTCTCAAAGAAACAAAGGAGATCTGGAATATTTAAATCTGAATTTATAGAACTTCGGATTTTTTTCATCCGTCTTTAACCAAAGAGGGGATCCGGATTTACAGAATCCGTTTTAACACTTATTCGGATTCCCGTAATCCGACTTTAGCCAAAAATTATTTTCCAACACTTATAATTTTTTCATCCAGCCGAAAATTAATATTTTATTAGTGAATTCGGATTCGGGAAGTTCGTATTTATATTGATTACACTAAATCCTTTCATTAACTTAATATCTTATTAACATTACACAAAGCCGGATTTCAGTAATTCGAATTTACACTGATTCGGATTTTAGTAATCCGACTGTGACCCTAATTCGAATTTCTAAAATCCGTGGAATATAGTTTTGTCCACATCATTTCTGGAAGGTTTTTTTTTTTATCCAGGTCCTTAATATGCAAATATATTTAAGGAAAAAAACTCGGGGGGTGTTGAGGGATAAATATTTTTTTTGCAGATAACCCCCTTCAAACTACGTCGTTTTGAGAAAGGGGGGTTATGGGTAAAATTTAATTACGTTTATTTGCGGGGTTGAGTGGTAAATATTATTTTGTCAGATACCTCCCCCTTCCAAATTAGGTCATTTTGAGAAGGGGGGTTATGGGTAAAATTTGATTTTTGGATTTATGGTTTTTGTTTGAATGACATTTTTGCACATAGTTAAAAATATGATGTATTTCTATTTATTGAATGATTATTTTGACCCCAATAAAAAATATGATGTGATTGTGACACAGAGATGATATCACGTGACGACCGCCCTACCAATCAGATTGCGAAAAACTATTTGCCGAGCGTATTTTTATATTAGTTTCTTATAGATAAGAATAAAATATTTTCAATTAGAGAAACACAATAAATAATAAATAAAAATTATGACAAATCAAAATGTAGGCAAGCCAGCATTATTTAGTATACTTTTTTCTTTCCTTTTATCAAAAACTCAAAAGGGACTTTTCTCAAACGTCTTCCGGGCTTGGATATGTTCTCTTTTCAGAATTCAGTGTAATAATGTATAATCTGTGGAAATTTTTTAGAAACTTTCTATCCAGATTCAAAGAATCGAGCCGAGGTTGTCTATGGTGGTTAGGAGTGCTGACATTGTAATGCTATGGCTTCTACAAGGTTACTGAACAAGAAAAAACCAGTCTTTGTTGTCACGAATTTCGGTACTCGAGTTGTCGTTGCTGTTTCTCCGGAGTGTACAGTTGGGCATTTCAAAGGTTCGTTTCATCATTGATTCTTTACTCCCAATCTCCACTGTTTTTAGTAAGTGTTAATTTCTCTGAAATTTGATTATCATTCTTTGGTTTGGATTTAGTACTTTGTTTCACTATGTGTTTAATCTCTCGGATTTGATAAAGATGAAAGTAATACTATCTGTTTCCATTTCTAGTTCAGCGGATTTGATTAGGATATGTTGAAAGTCTCTTCTTTTTTTTTTCTTCTGGCACAACAATCATCAAGTTCTATGTTTCGATTTCGTTTCAAGTATTGCCTTCCTGTGTTATGACTTTAGGGTAATAATCGTAGCATTTGGAAAGTTTATGTCGCTGAATGATTAAGACAACAAACTTTGGTTGGAGTTTGAACTCAAATTAGTGTCATGAAGACCACCAATGTTATGTCATGACATGAAAGCTAGGGAATTTATGATACTTTTGATATGGATTTGTGCATAATCGGTGTGTTGGAAAGTTTAGGTTGTATGATTAAGACAACAACATTTGGTTGGAGTTCGAACTCAAATTAACGTGATGTAGACTACCAATGTTGTTTTATAAAAGCTAGGGAACTTTATGATACTTTTGATATGGAATTATGCATAAAGCCGAACCAAATGTTTGAAGTAAGAATCAATTTCCACACTTCTATTGCAGAGGAGTTCGAGAATGCCCATTTTAATTGCTTTCCGGAACATGGAAAGGTTACTGTGGACGCCGTGAAGGTGAGTTTAGTGTTCCTTTCTCAAGGTTTTAGTGGGTAGGGCTTCTCGCATTACTTTGTACATGGGATTTTGAAACTGTTTTAAATAGAACTCTTATTATCCGTTGGCTATTACAGATAAGGAGGAAATCTTGCTCTTTTGACCTTGCTGAATTGTTTCCTCTAAAATATGCTTTTGAGGGTGCAAAGTGCTGGTTCCTTTATGTTGTTTCGCACCGTGTAGAGAACCTGTCAGGTTTTCAAAAACGTTGCAATTACATCTGTTATAATATTTCAGATTTTGTAGACAATGTTATACAGCACTAGTTCTTTACTCTCCTGCAGCGTATAAAAAAAATGGCAGAATGTCAAAAAGAAAGAGATGCAAGAAGAGGAAAAAGTTCTGGTGTTTCAAAGCTATGATTTTTAAGGTTCCAAGAGCTATTTACTTTTTGAAGAGGACTAAGAATAAGCCACAAAGGAAAAGGAAACGTAGACGCTTGGAGGACCGGATAAAAGGCAGCGAGCAAGGACCTCTCAAATCTGAGGAAAATAGATTTCTAGTTTTAGAATCCATTGGTGATGTGGACATACAGCCAAATCTCGGAACCGAAAAAGAGTGCCACAGTGAAGCATTTTCAGAAAGAGTATCAATTTCGGGCATTATAAATAGATATTTTTCAAGTTGTGATGAGGTGAATTCGAACTCAAGATATTCTCTCATGGGAAGCGTAGAACAAATAAAGGCCATAGGAGACTTTGACTATCAGAGCATACAATCTCCTATTGTCCCCAGAACACCTGAACAAGGACATAGTGAGATCCACCAGGGACCTAATTCAAGGTCATTGGAAAAAAAAGCTAGGACTGATGTGGGAGTACGTGTTGTGAAGGCTTCCAGGAGTTTTGGGCTGTCTACAAGCAGAAAAAGTGTTGTTCATTCTCTCTCCAACTTTATTGATGGAGGTTCAATGGTTACTGGATCTGGTAGTACTCATGTGAGAAGGTTAGTCTTTGAAATTCCAGATACCGATGACTAGAAAAGTGCATTTTGTTTAGGGATATCCTCGTGAAGCTGAAGAAACACCTGAAAAAGCTGAAATTGATGGTCATGGGGGATTGCTCGGAGCAGATTTTTTGCATGCTGATAGGATGTGGCATAGGTCGAATGTATTAACCATTAACCACTGCATCTGATTCTGCAATCCAGCCTCATTTCCTTTGCAGAATGTATACTTATTTTATTTCGGTAGTTGAAATCTTGAATTTGGATGTTTAGCGGGTATGCCGCTACACCAACTTGTTATCTTCACCACTAAAATTTTAAAATTCGACATCAAAATCTCCATCATCAAAATTTGTCATTCTGTTACGTACCACCTAAGCATCGGCTGCTATCTTCTTCATCATCATTTTGTTCATCATACAGACTTGTGTTGGATTACTGTTTATGTTCTTTGCTGTTAGATTTGTGCTGGTTAAGATGTATGCAGAAATATGGCAGTGTTGCTGGTATCTTGGGTTTCGTCTTGCTTTGATTGATTACTCACGTTCCTGCATTTAGGTAAACACGATAGTAGGCAATTATTAATTGAACGTGATGTTGCTCTCTTGATCAACTTTGATGAATTTTACCGAGTTGCTATTTGGATTAGCTAATGCTGTCTTTCATCAAAGCTCGTCTGTAGCTTGTCTGCGTGTTGTTGTGAGCTCCTGCTTTCTGCTAATCTTTAAATTTTGTGCTAATGTTTATCTGAGCTGTAGAGGAATGAGTCATCAAGTTAGCACTGAATTTTAGTGAACCTATTAGCTGTGAATAAGTTGCCAATTCACCTTCTTGGTGAACTTTCTAAATGGCTGTTTCTAGATGATATTCCAAGACTGAGTTATGGCATACTTGCCGTGATGATGCATACGTGCACACACGAATTTGATGGACTTGCCAGGTATATGAAAATTTTGGTGTTCTGCATTTCTTTAGCTGCTTATATAAATAACGAGATTTGGCAATTGATAATTTTCCTCTCCAGCACCACGCAACAATTCCTTGATGCACATTCTTTTGGTACAAACTATAGTGAATTTGCTGATTTGTTGACCTTGTAGAATTTGAGAGGATGCACTGCAAAGTGATTATATGCTGGAGGCGTTTCTCTAACTGCAGTAAATACTAATCGCATGCGAATGACTTCTATAGTTCACATCTTTGACTTTCAGTTCTTTTTTTCTTTTTTTTTTTTTTTTGGGTAAAACATAACCAGAAGGCTAAGAACATACACGCTTAAAACTATATATACAAAGCAGAGGGTGTCCCTCTATCTGCCTCTAATAGCAACGAGATAGGACTTTCAAATCGGATGGGCCCTGCTAACCAAATCAAAAGAAAAAAGAGAAGAGACCTTCACTTCTCTCGGGGGAGTCAAAAAAATATATCTCCCTATCTACTACATTTAAACCTTCCTTAGCGAGGGCATCTGCACACAAATTATTATCCCTGACCGTGTGTACTAAGATCACATCCCAATTAGCTTGCAAAAGGTTATAAATAGCCCTTAGTTCGGGATCAAGGGGCATTCTTACCCGTTCTCATAGGCACTTTACCAGATCAATCGCCATTTGAGAGTCAGACTCCAGCAAATTCGTGGTGCCTTGCTGTTTTGCAACTACCGTGGCAATCGCTCTGAGCTCTGCTGTCTCGATTGAACAAACGCTCCCCCATTGGAGGTGGTTTCTCCCAGCCATGCTTAACCTCTCTGTTGCTACCCCTTCTCTGCCATTTCAGGATTTTCTGACTTTTATCTATTTCTTCAGACTTCTGGATTGCAACTCTGATCGCACTATTCGCATTCATTACCGTGCCACATTCCTCCAATTCCATAGCAACCAAAGTTCGTTTGCCATTTCAAATCATCAGCCACTCTGAGTTTCAGTTCTATCTTGAGTGGACATGAGCTTGTGTCATAGTACTGCATTCTTAGATGATGTACACTGTACAGTACACCTGAAAACCTTAAGTGCCTGGTGCTTTCAGTGTTCCTGTTTTGCTTTGTAACACACACACACACACACACAAGGGATTGTGTTCAGTTCACAAGGGATCAATCCTTTTCCAAAAAAAAAAAAAAAACAAGGGATCAATCCTTTGACTCCCGCGTTCAGAGCTTTAAATCTTGGGGTTTAATGAGCTCTGAATTTGCAACATTGGAGAAGCTCTGAACACATGCTCTGGTGTAGACTTCATCTAGTGAGGCAAGAATCCACTAATGGAACATTAATTACTTTTGTCCTCGGACCATAGAAAACATAGGATCGTATACATCAATCGAGTTAATTTGCTGAAAACTGTGTAAGTTCTTACATTACATTATGGAAAAATGTGTAAATTCTTACAATAATTTAAGTTTGGTTCTCAATACTAGCACAAATTTGAAGATAGCTGATATTCAACAAGTACATGATGCGGGAAAAAATTAACAGAAAGGCACAAAAAATTCAACTACGTACTGCTAAGACTTCTTAGTTTTAAGATCTAAAGATTTCTTAAACTAAAAAGAATTTAGAGTAAAAGAGAGAGTTCAGCACCATAAGGTTTGTTCCTAAATTTCTACTTGTAAGAGAACTACGAGATTAATGAAGCATTGTTTCCAAAAAAAAAAAAATCTGAAACAATTACGACATATGCATTACTGGCATGTCACTCACTCACGATTCAATATGAATCCTACTTATAAAAATCAATATTAAGAGCTCTACTATGTGCGCCGTGAGAAATCCATTAATGAGGTTCTAAAACACCAAACAAAAAAATAGACTAAACCGCAGAAAACATCCTGTACATTTGGCCAAAAAATCATTTTCGTCCCGTACACTTCAAAATGTTCATTTTCATCCCATTTCGTCCAAGAAAACGCCATTTTTCGGCTATTTACATCCCAAATCAATTTTCCGTCCACTTGACCGTCAAAATGGGGGGCATTTTCATCTTTAAGCCCATCTTTTTGATTTTCCAATAATTAAGAAATTAAATAATAATTAAATAAATTAATTAAAATATTATTATATTTATGATAATAAAAAAAGAAAAATAAAATTTTATAATTTTTACCTGGTGGTCCTCAGTAATTTAATGTTTCTACAGTTATCTTCAGTAAAACCGTAATTATATTAAACAATAAAAAAAATTCAAAATTAAAGAATTTCCAAATTTAGAAAATTTGGCTGCATTTAACTTCTGGGCCCATAGAGATTAGAAGACATGATTATTCCTGGTCTCCAAATTGAAAAACTTTTTTTCTTTTTTTACTTGCTAAGAAGCAATTGGCGAGATGTTTTTAAGCCAAAAAAGAAAAGAAATTAACATAACATTTTGTTTAAGGGACATCCGATAAATTCTTCAGAATTTATAATTTCGGGAAAGAAGGCTCAACAGCTTTTCGACCAGTTGAATTTCGTCTTCTGTTTATCTGAATTGATGTTGTTGAAATTGTAGCCGGAAAAGAAGTGAAAAAAAAAAAACAAAATCCATGATAATCCAATTAAGATTTCTACTTGAACTAAATTCATACATCAACAAAATCCATAATAATCCCATTAAGAAGATTGGCCAGAACAGAACTAACGAACTGCAGATTCTAACAAGTAAAAATGTCCAAATCTCCAGAATGCCCAAATCTCCAACTAAAGAAACCCTAACTGCCGAACCCATAGAGAGTAAGGCCTTGCCTCTTGAGAGCATAGACCCGTGGAGAGTACCTCTTGAGAGAAATCCAAATCTCTCTTCCCTTCGACCCCCTCCGCCTCCGGCAAATTCAGTCCATATCAAAATTTGACCACTTAGGAGTTACAATCCCATTACAATGAACTAATCGACACAAATAAAAAAGATCCAGTCCATATCTAATTAAAAATAAAAAATATATCTGGTGACTGCTCCTTATTCTTGAATTCCCAGGCAAAATCCTCAACAAACGAGCATCGTCGTATGCTCGGATGCCCGATTAGAACAAGGTGGCGCTGTTGCTTATAAATTGGGAAGAAGAAGAAGAATGGAGATGATGACGGTGGGGATGGCCGCAATGGCTAACTTTGGGTTGTGGAAAGAGAGAGAATGGGAAAACGCGATGGTCATAGCCTCAGAGGGAACACGATTTTTTATTAAGGAAAAAACTACTATTAAATTAATTTTAGGATTACTGTAGCAACGTGGGTAAAAGGTTAAATAGAGTCAAATTTTTTTAAATTTCGAATTTTGATTTCTTTATTATTTTAATATATTTACAGTTAACTATAGCTAATAATAATAAAAAAAATTATATCACTAGGGCGCCACTATAAAATTTAAAAATATTTTTAATTAATTTTATTATTATTTTATGTCTTAATTACTGAAAAATAAAAAAAAGGCTTAAAGACGAAAATGTCCCCCATTTTGACTGTCAATTAGACGGAAAATTGACTTGGGACGTAAATAGTCGAAGAATATCCTTTTTCGGACAAAATGGGACGAAAATGAGGTTTTATAATGTACGGGACGAAAATGATTTTTTGGCCAAATATACGGAACATTTTCTGTGGTTTAGTCAAAAAAACATAAACAAATAGAAACTGTACGTGCACATGCATCCAGAGAAATACAAGTCGGCATAAATCATTCACTAATTCATAAGTATTATATATGAAGATGGAGTATTCAAACAAAATAAACAAATATTTCGAGAAGGCAGTCTTTGAATTAATGCATATGATGAGGAAGTGGCCTAGCAGGAACCAAATAGTTTTGACCACAAAAATTGTTCTCAAAAACAAACGGCACAAATTGAAAAGTAAACAAACCACAAGTAAACACATCAGTCTAGCAGCATGATCGCTCAGACTCGGGAGCCGTCTCCAAGAGAGATGGAACGAGATGAAAGAAATTGTTGGAGAGCATCCTTAAGATTGTTGCAAGCAGAATCAGCCATAGCAACGACAGGCGACAACAAATCGAACTCCTCCTTTTTGGAAGCATGAGAAGATTGAAGAGATTCTAATTCAGTTAAGGCCTCCTCTGCAGCCTTACCAGTAGAAAGACTCCGCCTTTTCAACTCTTTTTCTCGCGTATGCAACTCCTCTAACTCGAGTTCCAACTCGGCTTTCCTTCGAGTCACATTGTGAAAATCTTCGTTGAGTTTCTTCAACTCATTTCCTAAACCCTCAACCTTTCTATCTACTGTCCCAATCTGCTCCATCAGGTCGAGATAATCATCTACTTTAGGCTTGTAGACCATGTCGGCTTTGCAATTTTGCGCAAAATGTTGTTGAAATGCTGCAAGAGCTTTCTTTGTGTCATTGTTTGGGGAGTTGTTCAAAAGGGTCTCCACAATGCTTTCGACTTTGTTTGAATTTGTTCCAAAAATTTCAGTTGGACACCAAGAAAGGATTTCGCTAGCCTGGTTCAAAGCTGAATCGAAGGACATTGTTGCACCGCAGTTGGATTTAATGCTGGAATCAAGCTTCCAAATATTGCTACTCCTTGAAGCTTCAATTCGACTCAGTAAATCGACAAATGATTTCTCAGAGTAGGTAATTGATTTGGGGGCAACAGGGGACTCTGCCATGGGGATGACATGATCTTTAATTGATTTGGTATCGTCCTGTTATCAAAGTAAGAGGTTGGATCCAAAGTAATATTGCGTAAAAATTGTTGGAAGTTGGCAGGGAAAAAAAGAAAGGCCATTTGAAACAAACCTTGGATGTTGGATCCAACATAGCTATATTTTCCACCATTCCAGACGACCTTGGTGTGCTATGTGGGACAATCTGAAACAAAAGAGCAATGCCATTCTATGAATCAGCATCATATGTATGGACATAACTCAACATTCTATCATTAAGGTGAAAATTAAGTACTATGAAATACATTTAGTACTCACAGTGAAGCGCGCAACAGGTTTAGTTCTCCTATTCCCCTTCTCGATGAGTTCAAACTTGTAAGCATCCCCTTCTTTAATTTCATTCGCTTCGCGAAAGTCCTTCCATCCAGCCGTGATGCTAAAATGGGTAGTCCTGAGCTTCAATCTAACTGGCCATGTCCTCTGTCTTTCATCCATGAGGATCATTTCATCTTTCTCTATCAGCTCATTTGATCTGGCAAACTCGAGTGGTAGATTCTGCAAACACCAATGTTTATCAATAATTTGTAATAGAGTGCATTGCTGAACTTTGATAATAAATATACAAATAATAAACAGGTTTGGATCATTGTCCCAAAATTGGACTCTTATGTTGGAACAGAGGGAGTAAATAAATTCATTGAAATATCATATGTTTCTTTAAACATGCTAAATCGATGAATAATACAGAACAAAGTTACAGAATGGTTTCAAGTTCTAGACTTGTTTGCGGACACAACAGGGAATATTACAGCAAAAAAGTGACTAGCTACAAGGATGTTCGACAAAATTAACAGAGCAGTTACTTATATACGCATGATCATTGACCTCTTCTGGAGAAAAAATTAGGACAAAGTTCTGATTGTTAACAAAATTAAAAATGACGAATGACTAATATATAATTAATAAATATTCACTGATATATGTCTTCACCAACTTCTCGAAAGATCAACAATTATCATAACTAAGCAATGAAACCAGTAGATCTGTCAGCAAGTTCAAAACATATATTTTCTTACCAGATTTGCAATTTCTGATAAGCTATAAGGCTTAATGGTGGAAGTAAAAGAAGGGCAGTGGCCTGGGGAATCCTTTGTTTCTTCAGGTTCTACTACCGTGAAGCAAGGAAGGATGTTCACAACTGGTGTTTTTCCATTTTCTACTAGCTCAAACTTCACGGTATCTCCTTCTTTAAGCCCATTTTCAGTTAACAATTCAGTTAGAGTGGATCTTCGACCAAGGCGAACTTTATTGCCACTGGTCTTCAAACCTAAGCACCATGATTTCTCTTGCGGATCTTTGACAGTAATGATGCAGGTTCGATTGATCCAGCCATTTGATCTAGCGAATTGGCTGGGAATTTGCTGCATTGTAGATAAACATTGGATTAATTGCCTTGTAACTGGCCATTATTGATTTTGAAAATAGATTCTTATCATATACATGATGCATGCATTGACTATTTCTCTGTTCTGCTCCATCTGATTCGTAGGAAAGATACTTACCAGATGACCCCAATTAACCGAATACGGCTTGATAACCCAAAGAAAATGAGGATGGCCAGATGCTTCATGATTTGAAGGGACTTCCATTTTCTCTTTTGTAGTTGGCAGGGTCACTGTCACTTCTTGTTCTACGAAGAAAAGGCGAATTAGAAATCTAAACTATAAAGAAAGAAAAGAGTAATTGAATCTTTTTGATCCTAGGGGATCATGGCCATCTGTAATTAGCCCTATTGTAGCCTACTCAATCATAAACTATCCAATGAAAAAGTTAAAGATCAATGTTACAAGCATGTCATGATGAAAATTGAAACAGTTTTTTGTTTTAGCAAAAATTGCGCAAACAAAAAACTGGAGACAATGTAATTCATTTTATCGACTGAAAATTAATTGGACATTGATCCATTCTAGCATCATATCCTTTTATTATTTCCTAAGCTCCAAAGTGCGCTACTGTATATGTTCTCTAAACTCTCAAATATCAATCTTTTTTCTCATGCAAAGTGTTATTTTAAGACTAACTTATTTCATTGAAACTGGATTGATCATTGGAAAGGGGGGAAATTAAAGGAGGGATATAAATCAATCTGACCTTCAGATTTGATCTTCTTTGAAGGCCTTTCCTTTGGTTCCGCAGCATCATCATCCTTCCAAGATGAATGTTGCTTTTCGCATTGATTACCATAGAAAACAACAACGTCAAACACCATGTTTCCCTGATGATTGAAAGCTACAAAATCGCCGGTATCCAAATCATTGTCCGTTGCAAATGCACTCCAACCATCTCTCAAGTATTGGTCTTTGATTATGACACACCACTCTTTACCGCCCTTCCGCAAGACCGCCTTGTGGCACCTTTTAAGCTCCACGCTATCTAAGAATGACCCAGGAATTTCCTACACGAAATAATTGTTACAATACGTTATTCGATTATGAAGTACTAGTGAGCAACATTATATTAATGGAGATGTTCACTAAAACAAAAACAAAAAAAAAAAACCCTATTACCATCAATCTTCCTTTTTACAAGAGAAAGTAATAATTGAAACAAAAAAAGAGGATATAATAACTTAGTGATAACAATCATCTTGTAAAATGTCATAGATGGAGAGAAGTGGAGACTTACGATTCCATCAATAAAGCCAGGAAGGATTGGCTTCAAGAATTGTGTACTTTCCCGTGGCATTTTCATGCGGGAGCAACTAAATTACAGCACTAAATTAGTAACTTCACCGTTTATCTTCGTCTTCCAGAATATGATGGGTTTTTTGAAATGGTAGCTATTTTTTAGGCATTTGATGTTTAAAGCTAGTTTTGTTCAAAGAAATTTATAGCTATTCAGCTTTGAGAACAATCATAAATTAATGACGCATTGGGATAACCCAAATACGTTTTAATTAGAACTGTTCTCTATTGAGTTCAACGGCTTTCCAAGTTCCACCTGCTTTAATATCTCGTTTTTGCCCCTTCCGCGCCCAAAAACCATATCATTGCAAGTCAAGGCCCAAATAGATGTAGTATAAATTTTTAGATGTATATCGAGACAAAAATCAAGACCGATATATATATATATATATATATATATATATATCCTACTATATTAGAAACAAAAACCTCCCTTTCAAACACCTCATATGATTACCACGTGGCATGTAGAAAATACTAAATTGCCCTTTTGTCAATAAACTTGAATCAATATAGTAAACGTGTCAATATAGTTCATATGACTGCATTTCTCCTCCATTCATCCGAAGTCCATTTAATTTGACTACCCAATCAAATGCACATCCAGAAGTAAATTTGAATTATTCCATTCACTTTTTGTTAATCCAAAAGTTTTCAGCTTAGTACCTCGTTCTTCATTTGCTTTCTAATTTTCCTTCTCTCTCTTCTTTTTTTTTTTCCTAAGTTGAATTTCGCCTTTTTCCACGTAATTATGACCAATAGGCACCATCTATGTTAAAATTTTCATTGTCACCTTTATTATGTTTTTCTTTTTTTTAATTAAAGCAAAACATAACCAACATTTCCTAACCCAGAATCATAACTAAGGATTGGATTGGCCTTAAAAATATCAAATTTTCATACAGTACCGGATCTAGACGGAAAATATAGTGGGGCCGACTGTAACTACATTAATTGATAATATAACTAATATACTCCCTTAGTTATGATTCAAGTTTATTATATTGACACGTTTTTTTTTTCAAATTTTTTCTTTATGTTTCATTCAACTAGAGTGGTTTTTTAAATTGAATTGATCAATTAGGTTTTTTTGTTACAAAGTGTCAATTTTGTTTTAAGCGTATACCCTTCGGATGAAGCTTATTACAAAGCTATTAAAAATCTCCAAAACTAAGTATTGATTTGGCACGACCAATGGAGAACATCAATAAATCATCTTATTAATATTTAAATTTATTAGGATACTTTTATATTTTATCTAACATTTGCTTCAACACATATATTCGATTAAGGCTATTTATATTTAATAAGTAACACTTATAAAATATTTTTAAAACATACATGGCGAAATACAATTTATTTTATTTTTTTTTGCGAAATACAAATATTTCTATGATCACACTTATAAAATATTTCTAAATCCTTCAAACATTTTTAAAATATATCGCTCCAAATACAAAATTTTATTTTTTTAAATATAAATATTTCTAAGATCTACAGATAGACTGGGCCAGGGTCGCGCATTGTGCGACCAGACATCACTAGTATATATATATAAAATAAGAAGAAGCCTAAAATAAAGTTCTTGGAAGCTAAACAGTGAATGCTAAAATAAAAAATGTAAAATGGTCAAATCTTCGTTTTGTGACACTAAAAAACAACGCATTTTGATATCAATTAAATTTATCATACAAATCTTTTTTTTTCTTATATAAAAAAACTTGTCAAATATACAATTCTCATTTTTTTTTTTTTTGGTAAATTTGCCAACATTAAAAGTAAATTAGAACCATATAATGCATGTTATAAGTTCTAGTCGCCAAAAAAAAAGTAAAATATTAATAAAGTGGTTCTAAATGATTTGTTATTAGCTAAGATGTAAACTTTTTGAAGAAAAAAAAAGTATTTCTAATATTTAATATTTTTAATTTTTAACACGCACTTTTAATTTTATCGCTCATGCTATTTAGAAATTCTACTCCGTCACTGACTATCCCAAATCTCGAAAACAACAACCTTAATGGTAGATATAGGTACCTAAACAATGAAAACAATCCAAGAGAAATAATTTGGGGGAAGAATACACAAATGACCTAAACAGAAAGCGGGTTTGAACACAATGGCCAATCAATAATATTTCTAAGGGTAATGATACTGCCAACACAATAATTAGCAAAAAAAATTTATCTTTCCCCCAGTACCCTTAATTGGTCAAACCATAACTTCTCCACGGCCTTCTTTTACTGCCGCCCCCCAACCAAAACCACTGCACTGGACAAACCACCGACCCAGAATCACATCCTCTTCCTCTCAAACATTGTTTTTATTCGCGACCGTCACGGAGGATTATAAACTTTTATATTCCAGATTAAGAAGCAAAAAAACAATCTTCTCTTCACAGTTCCAATTTTCAATTACAGTATATAAAATATGAGTTTAAAATCTCAACAAATTCATATTCAAGGGAAGGGAAGGCTGCCAAATTATAGTATGAATCTTATTTCCGAAGAAGAATCAAGTGTCGATATTTCGTGGCTTCATAATCTCTTCCACTGAAATTTTAGAACAAACGATTTTAACAAACATCCAAAGTACCGAATTCGGGCGCTTAGATAGAAGGGCAGTCAGACCCCAAAATCAAGATGCCCAAAGCAAAATAGAAAAATCCTCGTCCATTGCGAATCTGTATGTTGAAAAGCAAATTTTTGTAAACTGAAACTCAAACGATCATGTTCTTGAACTAGTAGGATATGATCATGATGTGCAATGGCCTTGAAATTTTGGTATGCTTTGAATTTCCATAAATTTTAGTTTGCTTTGAATTTCCATACTTGAGTGGGGTTTTGGTCCATTTGGACCTGATTCAGAGAAAATTTTTAACATCAACAGAGTATTCTAAGAGAAAGAAGCCTGCAGATCCGTAAGAGGGGAGCGATGCGAATTGCGAGGGATTCTCTGTTTTCGTTTTAATCTGTAAAAATGAAATCTAGCAAAAAAAAAAAAAAACAAAGAGACAAGGGAAGGAAATATAAGTTTGACCAATTAAGGGTATTGGCGGAAAAATATGTACATTTTACTCTGGCAGCTAATTTTTGTGTTGCCAATATCACTAGCCTATTTCTAAATGGTATATTTTAAATCTAATTACTATGGTAAAAATGTTGTTTAAACTTTGACACAAAAACATCTAAAATTATGTGCAACCTTCATGGATAATACTAGAAATTAAAATTAAAAAAATATGTAAGGGGCAACCACAAATAGTAATTATAATTTATATTTTTTTTCCAAAATGATTATTCAGTTTGGATTTTTATTTTTAATAAAATATAAAATTTGTATTAAAAGTGATATCTCAAATTAGAAAATCGGTTTGGGACAAAAAAAAAATACACATCAAGGGGAGCTAAAGTACAGCTAACCTAGAGGTTTATTGAGCAACTTTATTTTTTTAAAAAAAAAAAAAACATTTTTACATTATTTGATGGAAGGCAAATTATCCACCAATAATTATCAATAGCTTATCAGTTTCTCCTGCAAAACCGGAATCGTCAGTGTGAGTCTCAGATCCAATTCCGGGCAAACACTCCAATACCTAAGTTAGAGAATGTAAAGGCGAAGTAACTAAAAGAAATAGTGATAAAACATAACCTTCACCTGGGAGGCCATAACAAGATATATCCATAGGCAGAATGAGGATCAAGATCAAGGGTCCAAATTCTCCAGGGACCATGTGCTGTTAGGGTCAGAGCTCCCTTTGTCTATATTGTTGTCTTTTTCCGGCAGGTTTGCTTCCTTCGGCCGCTCCCTCTGTCTTCTATATTGGAAATAGTTGTGACAGCTCCGAGAAGTCAGCAAGACGCTTTTTCATTTAACAACCATAAGTAATAATTATGAGTCTCATTATGTCAAGTGGACGACCCGTCTTGAGATCCGCTTCCCTTATACGTAACTCGGATCTTTATAACAGTTTTAATCCTGGTCTTGTTTGATTGGGTCCCATCCCATCATTGTTCAGATTTCTTTCTTATTCGACCGTCCAAATCCAAGATCCAAGATCACGGAAAGCCATTACGGTGCAAACAAATTCACCACCTCAGATCTAAAAAACAACAAACTTAATGGTAGGTACCTGAAGAATGATAACAATCCAAGAGAAACAAATGGAGGGGAATACACAAATGAACAAACAAAAAACGGTTTTTGGACACACCAAAAGTTACTCGCAACACCCACATGGGATTGTCCGGAAGCAGTGAAAAACAAAACGTGGGGAAAATACGGTTAGGTACCGACACATATAACAGTGGCACCGGGGAGAACCGGTAACCGGAAGTCGGAGATCACCAAGAAAGTGGGAGGAGAGGGAAGAGAGGGTACGCAGATCAAATAAGCAGATGACACGTGTCCACCGGCAAGAAAATGGTGCCAGACATTTTCTGGTTTGGCTGGGGACAAGCTCAGAAGAAAACAAAGACCCGTAATATTGTCACTTCCAAAAAAGACTAGTATGTAGTATAAGGATTCGATACTACTTATACTTCCTTCCCAATGTCACCAGATAACTTGTATTTTCTTGAACTTGTAGAACCCAAAGTAAAAAAAAAAAAAAAACCTTCTCCTTTTCCGTTCTCACACAATGTTAATTCTTTCTGAAACTCCGAACATGGCAGTTCCCTTATATAATGGTTTCAAAATGCCGGTAATGGGTCTTGGAGTTTGGCGTATGGAAGGCAAGGACATCAAGAATTTGCTCCTCAAAGCCATCAAAACTGGCTATCGTCATTTTGACACTGCTGGTTCGTTACTTTCTCTTCTGCTGGGATAATGTTAAACACTTTCCACACCCCCCACTCATTTGTTTTGCGAGTGTAAGTTGGCAAAGTGCTTTTTTTCTTTCTTAAAATGGAATTCTGGATTTTCAAGGGATCGGATTTTTGTTCTGTATGATTACTAGAAATAATGAAGTTCAACTAATTTTCAAAAAACAAAAATAAATAAAAAAAATACTAGAAATAACTTAGCAGCTATTAATTAGCACTTTTTCCAAGATTATTAATCATACTCCAGTTTTCTCTATAAAAAATAATACAGTAATCTATGTTATTCTAGCATAAAAGAAGTAAACGTTTGGGCCTAATCATAAATCCCACCACAAAACCCATTTCTCTTGTGATTTCTGTTGAGTCTAATTAGAGCATCATATTAAATAGTCGTTTTGCTTGTCCAACCCACAAACACTAATTTGCACAGTTGAAGCCCAAAATTTCTACAGTTTATTCATCTTCTTTATCGAAAACCCAACCGGCAACAAACAACATCGAGATCATCATCAAATTCATTACTACCATTTTCTTCTTCTCCCTAAAAGCTTATTAGACAAGGACATTGTGTACAGAATATAAATACAATAGCAAAACCAGCAGATGTGGGAAACTCATTAACATGATCTGTTTTAAGGAACGCGCGTGAAATAAGGGACAAAGACATTTAATTCGAAGACCACTCACTCACTCTCTATTCCTTCTTGGATGGTTTTTGCAAATACCTCTACTGTTGAGTCAATAGACAATTAAAACCTTCGGAAAATGATTAGGAGCAATACCTAAGAAACATACTCCTTCCGTCCTAAAATTTTTGTATTATTTAGATTTTCATTTTTGCTCAAGTTACACTTAAAAAATAAAAAATATAAATTGAAAAATAATTTTAGGACATAAAAATTAACCGTTACCTACTTCATATAAATATACTTAATCTACTTAACGTAGTATTGTTGAATAATTGTTCATTGTTGATTTCCTATCTGCTCGGTAGAACGGGGTTCTATACCACGGTTCCATTCCGGTTCATATACTTTAATACGTACGATGATGTATGTAATTCTTGATTATCATAGTTCTTCCAAGGCATTGATTTCTGACAAGTTGACAATGCTTGCATGCAGCTCACTATAAGAATGAAAGAGAAGTTGGTGAAGCACTTGAAGAAGCATTTGAGACAGGCCTTGTCAAGCGGGAGGATATTTTTATAACTACTAAGGCTAGTTTTATAGGCAGTCATGTTTATAATTTATTCTTTTTCCGTTTTGTTTGAATGTTTAATTAATAGGTTTAAATTTAGCTCATCTCATCTCAGATATCCTTGCTTCTAAATACAGCTGTGGAATTCAGACCACGGTCATGTCATCGAAGCCTGCAAGGACAGTTTGAAGAAGTTGGGCCTTGATTACCTGGATTTATACCTAGTCCACTTCCCCCTAGCCACAAAGCATACGGGTAATATTACTAAACTAGTTTCACTTACTGGTCGTGTGAGGTTTTTTAAAATCTAGTTCAGGTAACTACCTTTCAGAGGTTGCTTTTTAACTTTCCTTTCCAAATAAAACCTCACTCAACTATCTTAATTTATAAAATTTTTTCTTTGATTTTATGCGCTTAAATTAAACCTCGCCGAAAAAAAAAATAAAAAACACGGAACTTAGATGTACTAGACCCTTTTTGATACTCCCTCCGTCCCATAATTATTGTCCAGTTTTATTAAAATGAAAGATTTTATTTTTGGTCAAACTTAACTATATTTTACCTTAAACAACCGGATATACCCCTACATAAGTAATTGTTTAACCACTAAGATTTCATGGATAATGTTTTTTACTAAGGACAAATGTGTAACTTGATTCATAAAAAGTCAAATTGGACAATAATTTTGGGACAAAATTTTTTGGGCAAAGTGGACAATAATTATGGGATGGAGGGAGTAAAATTTAATTTGAGGTCTAAATGTGAAGCCAAAAAGTAAGTTATTTTGTTCGATAAAATCAAATCTGTATTCCAAAAAAAGAAATATGAAATCTGAACCCTGACTATTGAAATTCAAACTTGGTAAGATTTTGACTTATAATTTTCATTACAAAAAAGAAATGTGATGCATGAAATCACATTAGCACGATGATATCACTACGAATTTATATGAATAAAACATAGTATTATGATTATGTAATTTTTTATAATTAATAATAATTTCAAATTTGTTATGTAATAAGTTTTAGATAAATTTATTATGGACTTTACTTAAATTATAATTTTTTGTAGAATAAAAACCTATATATTAAATAAAATAAAGTAATTTGAATAATTTTTTATTTACAAAAATAAAAAGCAATATTAATAAAAATAAATAAAAGATGAAACCTAAAAAACATAAGCATAAAAATACATAACTAGAAAGAAAAAAAAGGACGAAAAATGTCTCAATAATTAATTTCAGCAACACGTAATATGCGTATCAGTTATTTTAAGACTCATATTTGTACTTGCATTTCAAACTCACTTAATCTATTACTACAATTTTTTCTAGTAATTAAACAAATTTAAAAATTAAATCTTTTTGATTAATTAAACTCTTAATTCATTTAGTTATTAGGAAATCAAGTTATCAAACAATATCAATCAATTAAGATTTTTTATTACTCCACAATTCTAGAAAAAATAGTCCACATTGAATTTTTAATTTTATACTAATAGTATTGTAAATTTCAAAAGTCAAAGTGTACTTTTTGGGGGGAGGGGGGATTGAGGGAGTATAAATCGTAAGGAATTTTGTGCAAAATTTCTAAACAAATTTTAGAAAACATCCAAAATTTTTAAATGATTCATATTTAATCCTTCAAATGTAAGAAATGTGTTAGATATGAACTTAATAAGACTCGACAAGATCTCTCTAATGATATCCATATTGAATAATTTTTCTTTTTCTTTTGCAAATCTTATAGTTATTATTTGTTGTCTTTGATTTTGATGAGTCTATCTTATGATAATTTTGACATACCTACCATGTTAAATTTTTTTTTATTGTTCTGCATTTTATTTTTTGTGTCGTCATGTTTCTTATAAATCAGCATTATAATTTTAATGTTTCTACTACATAATTTGGATTGCTCTATTATATCATTTTTAAAGTATGGAGTTTTGAAAGACTTGATGTGCCACCTATATATAATTTTCCATGGACCTCCATTACAATTTTGATGGATCTCCTATATAAATTTGACGAATACAATCTCTAACTTTGATAGAGATGTAGCATAATATTGATGTATTTTTTGTATAATTTTGTTCTATTTTCGGTGTAATATTAATATTTCTGCAGAATAATTCCGATGTATTTGCACTATAAAGTTGATGTATCTACAGAATAATTTCTGGTGGACTTGTAGTATAATATTGATGTATCTGCTATATAATTTTGATGTATGCATAATATAATGTTAATATATCTGCGGTATGTATGCTTTAAATTTTTTATAACTTTCTCGTATAATTTTGATGCCTCTGTTTTGTAGCTTTCAGGGCTTGCGTATAATGTTTATTTCTTTTTTTTTTGGTGAAATGTTTATTTTTTTTATTTGCATAGAACTTTTATGGTTTTAGCACATTGTTTTGATGCGTATATCACATACTCGTTCTGGTCCTAATTATAAGACATAAATTAATATTATATTAATTAAAAAATTTTACCTTATAAATAGGACACGAGGAAATACTTTTCTTTTGCATTTAATTTTGATGATTCAATCACATAACGATTTTCACCAATTTTTTACCATGTTTGCCGGGATCCGGTGGCAAGTTGCCGGGCGATGGCGGTTCCGGGGCGTTGGCTAGTGGTTCACCAGTGGCAAAAAGTATTCCGGTGGTAGTAATTTAAAAATTAATTTTTAAATTATAGTCACCTAAGAGAAGGAGGAAAAGAGAAAGTTTAAGATAATATTTGGTAATTTAGATTCTTATGTTTAGCTAATACTACTATAATAAAACATGTGTAATTAACGGTAGATGTTTTCATAATCTGTGGGGTACAATTGATCATATATCACCTGCTTTATTGCTGCTATAGAACGTAATTTTACAGAAGGGATTTATTTGACTGGCACATGCAGGGGTTGGTACAACTTCAAGTGCCCGGGGAAAAGATGGTCTTTTAGACATAGACACGACAATATCACTTGAAGCTACATGGCATTCCATGGAAGAGTTAGTCTCAATGGGCTTAGTTCGAAGCATAGGAGTCAGGTGGTGAAACCATATATATTTTGTCTAGAGCAAGCACAGTTTTACCAATTTTTTTCAGCATCTATCTTTTTTGTCCCTGTTATGTATAGATTCTCAAATGGCCATTTTCCTAACGTTATTGTTTTGAAATTTTAATCTGCAGCAACTACGACATTTTTCTTACAAGAGATTGTTTAGCTTATGCAAAGATCAAGCCTGCGGTGAATCAGATCGAGATACATCCCTACTTCCAACGTGATTCTCTCGTCAAATTCTGCCAAAAGCATGGAATTACTGTTACAGCACACACACCCCTGGGTGGAGCTACAGCAAACATAGAGTGGTTTGGTAACTTTGGTTCAGTTTCATGTTTAGAAGATCCCATCCTCAAGGTAAGCTTAAGTTTTTTCTATAACATTGTATCCTAATGAACCACTTTCAAGTGTGGACAAAAAAGAACAAAGAGGAAAGTAAAAATTGTAGAAGAAAGATGGACTTAAATCAGTTCCTTTGATTGTATTAAATCAGGGCATAGCCGAGAAGCATAAGAAGACGGTAGCTCAAATTGTTCTACGCTGGGGAATTCAACGAAAAACTGTTGTCATTCCAAAGACATGTAAACTTGAGAGGTTGGAGGAAAATTTTCAAGTTTTTGATTTTGAGCTTGACAAAGAAGACATGGAGCTGATCCAAGGTGTAGACCGAAATTCACGGACAAATCAACCCGGCAAGTTTTGGGGCATAGATGTGTATGCATAAGTGAGATTCTTTGTTTCGTAGACGTGATCATCTAAAGGATATCCAACCTCAAAATTTCCTAGTCTCAATGATTTCGTATAAATTATATTGTACAATTTTTTGGCAATGATTTTTTTGTTCTTTAGTTGTCGACCCTGACTTGTTACATAATCACAAAAATTTGCTGTAGAATTTTACTTATATGAAACTTTTTGATTCAAACAGAGCACGACTCTTCGACAACAGAAACTTGTATCAAATTAAGGCACTAAGACTTGTTCTTGTTCTATCTCTAACTTGCGAAAATAATAGAAAACACACTGATAGACAATAAATAATCTATTGCCTTTTGGACCCTAATCTTGAAAGCCCAAGTAACACTCAAGATCCATTTAGAGCCACGTGCAACTATGTGCTTGAGGAATATTCTTATTTAACACATCATTCTCTCTGTACATAACATTTAATACTTCCCCTTTCTCTCTCTAAGAGTTCTGACTTTGGCATCGGAGTACTAATTGTGTTTTGCAGGTATTTTAGGAATTATAGGCACTGTCCCGTGAACTGACCAAGGAACGCACCAACAATTAGCACCGACTGTGGGGACGCAATAGAGAAACGCGTCCTTTCCTTACTGACCTTTCTCTTTTCCTAAGTTGGTGTTTTTGGATTTTGATGGTGTCTATGAGACAGGGGCCTGAGGAGGTCGGGGATAGCCGTACCCCCGATCCCGGAGAGCCCAAGCAAACGGTTGCGACCAAGCAAGACACCGGGCGCGGTCGCACCGAGTGCTGCCTTCCGATCCTGAAGCACCTAAGCAAATGGTTAGGACCAAGCAAGACACTGGGCGCAGTCGCACCGAGTGCTGCGTTCTGATCCTGAAGCGACTAAGCAAACGGTTGCGACCAAACCAAACACCAGACGCGGTCGAACTGAGTGCCGCGTTCCGATCCTGAATCGCCCAAGCAAACGGTTGCGACCAAGCAAGACACCGGACGCGGTTGCACCGAGTGCTGCGTTCCGACACAGAAGTGCCCAAGCAAACGGTTGGGAACAAGCAAGACACCGGGCGCGGTCGCATTGAGTACTGCGTTTCAACACCGAAGTGCCCAAGTAAATGGTTGCGACCAAGCAAAACACCAGGCGCGATCGCATCGAGTGCTGCGTTTGAGTTTATTGTCAGGAAATCAATGGGGTCAGAAGCGAGTGGAGAACACCCATTTTGACATAATCATCATCGGTAAGATGTGGCTGAGTACCAAGCTGCAAATCGACAACCACTCTTGTTGCTTTAATATTTGAGCAGCTCCTTACCACTTGGTCAATGCTAGTTGGGGTTCGTTTGTAGAAAAAAAAAACGGATTTGGAGCTTCCACCACCTAAATCCAGCAGAAGTTGCATAGCGATTGGCAGAGCACGTGGCGATGCCTCTAATGATGATTTGCATTGGCGTTCCCCATTTGTGTTGGGGCAAGATGCGTCCCATCTTCATTGGCAACCACTTTGGAATTGACATCAACAACTTCTTGGCTGGCGATTGATTGGAGGAGCAGCAACCGCCAGCGACCTTGACCTTCCTTCAGTATCGGCAATTTTTGTGCCCGCGAGCATTTCCTTCATTAGCAACACCGACCACATTCAGCAACGGCGATCTCCACTTTCAAGGTGACTGCAAGGATTTCCTGCATTAGCGATGCCGATCGCGTTCAGCAACGACAATCTCCGTTTTCAAGGTGACCGCGAGCATTCCCTTCATTAGCGACATCGAGCGCATTTAGCAACGGTGATCTCCGCTTTGAAGGCAACCGCGAGCATTTCTTTCATCAGTGACGTCGGCCACGAGCGAGTCATAAAAGTAGCAACACGCTTTGCAATGCCTCAGACAGGGGTTTGTGCATTTGGTGCTCAGGAAGGGACCCCATTTGGCGTTGGTGTTAGCGATTTGTGTTCACCATTTGGCATGGTGGTCCAACCCAGGGGTCTGTTGGTTTGGCGTCTCGTTGTTTATACGTCGGAGGCGATCTTGATGTGATCTAGTGCAAGCTCAAAGCCAGTGGGCGACCTCATTTTTCCGGTGAGGAAGTTTGGGACGATTGGCATCCACCATGTAGATTCGGGCAGTAGGCGACCAGATCATGGACCATGTAGATTCCTCTTCTTGACAAGAAGTAGCAACATCGTTGGATGTTCGTTAGCATTGTGGTCTATTTGCCGTGGCGTCCCCTTATTCCAATTGATGCAACACATCAATGGCATCGCACTTTCATGTTAACAAACCAAAGTTCTCTGCAACCTAGAGTTCATTTCACCCAGCCTGACGTGATGCCGAAGTGTCGACATCGAGGTTGCGACTTCACCTTGCCACTCTCTTCAGCACTAACTCTTTCTTGTTGGCTTTGGCGATGTGGATCATCTCTATGCGATCTAGTATTATCTCCAAAATTGTGACAACAGTAGCAACTTCTGTGGGTCTCAATGCCTTCTTTTCCATTGGTTTCAGCAATGCGGCTGGTTCCACGCGACCCTGGGGTACATGCTGACTTGAGATTTGAAGCTTCATGGTGATAGCCAGTAACGCAAGTTTCAACACCACATTGACATCTGATAATCTTCCACTGGTGTTCTTGGTTTGATGCGATCCTGTGCAACCTTGGAGCCATGGAGCATCCTAGCTTTCGTTTTGGCGATTGGCACGATCGACCTGACCCCAAAAACCTTTCTTTGTGCGATCTGGTTCCACCTCCGACGACATGAGACCAAAGGGGAAGTCAGGGATCGCATTTGAAGGGAAAAACTCCAGCACTTGCAAAAGTCCGCGAACTTTACAATCAGGTCCCTAATAAAAACTGGGGCAAATTTTGGGGATTACGAGCATTCTTGGAGGCCTTCTACAGTCATGGCTAGGCCACCTACCTATGCACTGAACGAGATAAGCACTCTTAATTTTTGTAAGTGGATTGTTCGTTTTCTTAGATGGCTTGCTTTGGGGAAAGGGGATGCCTATGTGACTACGCATGTTTCCTCCCCGGTTATTCTAATGAGCGTGTGCGTTACATGATATATGCACATAGAATTGCACATTAACTCCAAGTTGCCTCGATAAGTATGCACTTGACATCATTTGCACATGACACATAATGAGCAAAAATACCATGAGTTCATTCTCTTTGCCATGGTCAATTCTATATTATGTGCTTTTCGTGCTCTTACTGCTAGAAGTACTATGTGAAAATAAACGAAATAATCTAAGAAAATGTGCACTTGTGCTTGACTGATACGTCTTCACCATTTTTGATTTGGCACTTTTAATGGATGTATAATTTCTCTCTGAAAGGTCGACATGTCTTTTGTGTTGAATACCTTTGTCAGTGTTTTGGTCATAAGGACAACCCTTTCTATAAACAAGTGTACCGGGGTGGTATGTTTTATACTTTGAGTTTCTTAGGCTGGTGTCTTGAACCAAGAGTCAATCCTTTTGTGAGATCCTTGTCATACACGGCCCTTGGCAAGATATAGAAACTTCAAACTATAAAAATGTGGTGTTACCTCCCTTTCAAAAACTCTTACTAGAAAACCTCTCCTCTACGGATGGAGGTCCGTCGCACCTCACACGGTTGATGCGTTTAAAAACCCTCTCCTCTATCAATGGAGGTTCGTCGCGCCTCACACAGCCAATGTGTTTGAAAACCCTCTCCTCTATGGATGGAGGTCCGTCGCGCCTCACACGGCCAATGCATTTGAAAACCCTCTCCTTTACGAATGGAGGTCCATGGCGCCAGACATGGCCGATTGGTTTAAAACAGCGTATGACGCACATCCCTTTGACCCGGATGCGGGTGATGCGGGAAAACTCGGGAGGGTCCTTCTAAGGCATCCCGTCCGACCCAACCCAGACATGGGCGGCCGGTCAACGAAACCGCGGTACAACACCTGCGTCCCTTTGACCCGGATGTGGGCGATGCAGGAAAACTCGGGAGCGTCCTTTTAAGGCATCCCGTCCGACCCAACCAAGACATGGGCGGCTGTTCAACAAAACCGCGGTACAATACAGCGTCCCTTTGACCCAGATGCGGGCGATGCGTGAAAACTCGGGAGTGTCCTTCTAAGGCATCCCGTCCGACCCAACCATGACATGAGCGGCCGGTCAACAAAATCACGGTAGCACACTGTGTCTCTCCGACTTTGATGCGGCTACGCGAGAAAACTCGGGGTCGCTTATTCCAGGGGGGTCACTTATTCCAGGGTCGCCTCGGTTCTCGCTCACCCCATGATCGCACGGTGGCCCTCACTACCCCAAAGTCATGGGTAACTTCTTCTAAGGCCTTGGGTTCCTTTCACTCCATGGTCGCGCATTGGCGCTCGCTTATCTTAGGGTCGCGCAATTGCACTCGCAAGTTCCCAGGTCACGCCATGCTGCTCAACGACTCCTGGGTTGCGCAAACGCGCTCACTTGCCTCGGGATCACGCGTTGGCACTCGCTTATTCCTGTGTTGCGCATTGGCACCTGCTAGTTTCAGGGCCGCGCCTTGGCTCGCTTATCTCAGGGTCGCGCGATGGCGCCTGCTTACCAGGGTCACGTAAAGGCTCTTAGTCTCCATGAGGGACGGAGGTCCGTCGCGCCTCACATGGCTATCACGCTTAAAAACCTGTCCTTTGCATTTTCGTCGTGCCATTCGTGGCCGTTACACGGAAAAAACCTTTTCTTCACAGTTCAAGGTCCGTCGTGCCATGTTTGGGCGGTGAGTTTGGAAATACTTGTGTGAGTTAGATCCATCGCGACACCTATGGTCAGTGCGATTACCTTGGCGATAGGCTCACAACTTGACGAAGCTTGGTTTCGCGCTGCCGGTCTAACGGTGGAACTCCGGCTAGGGTTTCCTACAAAACAGGGCCTCGGGGTGTCCTGAGAGTAGACACTATGATGCTTAAGTCAATAAAAGGTTGCTGGAAGGTTTAGGTATGTAGTATGTTAAGCTATATATTGTATACCTGTATTGTGGCATGAGCAACCCTATTTATAGGTATGAGAATACCTGGGAAATCCCTGACTCCTATAAGGTTTCGGGAACCTATACCGCCTCAAGTGTCCCGGTTGGACTCTCCTTTCGGTTGATGGGCCGGTCCAGTCTCGATGATGGATATGGATTGTCAAGTGCCCCCGTCAAGTGTTAGTTATATAAGATAAACAACGCTTGGCACAAAGTTACCTGGGACAAACCCGAGAGTGGATAGGCTACTTTCGTTCAGCTAGTTGTCGAGCAAGGC